AGGTGGGGGGGGGGGGGCGGAGTTCCACATTCAACTAACCGATAAAATCCCAGCGGTTCTCCGGACCGAGACGTTCCAACAGAATACGCTCGTACAGTCTCTGACTGAGACCTTTTTTCAAATTGCCCACAAACAGAGCAACCCCTGGTCCATTCAAATCTTCCAAAGGTTGCACGTAAAACCGAGTGAGTCGAAGCGCACGCACAGACTCACGTTTGACACGTTCAAGCAAAGACCAAATACGTTCCCCGGTCGACATGACTCGTTCGTTCAGACCGCGATCGAGTACAGTCTCAACCAATTGAAATTTGGCCGGATCTAAATGCTGCCGAAGCATCAGGAAAGGAGAATGAGCAAAGGACTTATTCATTCCTTCGTGAAATTTGTTTAAACGCAGTATACCACTTTGTGTGACATGCAATAAGAATACCATCAGTTATTCGAAGATATTCACTACAGACTACATCAAGTCAAACTTTATTGTGAGCCACCTTACAAAACTGAAGCTCATCATAACATATGTAATCGATACAAAATGAGTTCAGAGAATGGTAGAAATACATATTTCGCACTTTTCTCAGCACAGACCATAGCAAACGAATTATGCTACAATGATTTCGATAACAAGAAAATCTCGGTCCGTGATTCGTTCGTGAGCGGAACGCAGTCAGGTTTCGAAAACCAAGGCCAGGAGTTTTACTGGAAATGCACACTCAAAATGTTTGGCTATTCAAAACTTGACCAGCAAGGTATATATATATGTTTTGAAAAATAAGTCATTTCCACGTTTTATTGAGCGATAAATCGAATCAATGGATGGAAGAAACTCTCACAAATGGGGTAGACTAAGACTAACAGATGGTATTTGCTCTGAAGCCAAAAAGGTAGCGTTGGCCGTTCAGAATCCGGTAATAATTATTTGAGGTCCCAGTACGACGCGAATTGTTCAGATTCTTGGGAATCGTAGTCAGAGAGGGGAGAGGCCAAGCCCAACAGGTCATAAAATGCAGTAGAGTAAGCTCCGTCCTATGGAGACAGAATTGTGACATCCAGTTTGAAAAATAAATTATGCAAGGTAACTTTTAGAAAAATCATCTGGTTACGGCTTCTTTTGTTCGATGCATATATATATATATGTATATATATATATATATCAGAATTAATCACCCGAGAGCTTCTACCACCCCCATATCCAATTATATGCATACTGCATCTAATGCACACATCAGAAACGATTGTGTACTCCGGTTTCCTAGTGGGGAACATGAGTGTATTATTGGCAGACGCATTATATTATCGAGGCGGTTACGTGCACCAACCATAGTAGAAACAGCCGACTCTTTTAACCAGTACCAATAAGGTAGCCAATGAGGGTAGCCAATATTTGCCAATGCAATCAACCAGGTGATATCGCATCTGCATGTCAATCTGATACACTAACAACTCTAATGCTATCAGTAACTTTTTCTGAACACATTACGGCAGTTAGAGAAGGTGACTATCACGCACAGAGAGAAAGAGAGAGTTAAGTTAATAGGAAACTTCGCGTTCCAATCTTATCTCATTCCTGCAGGCGCAATGGGTCATTGGTAAATCGACTCCGAGATCAGAATAATATCACTCAATCAGCGCACAACTTCCCGTGGTTCTGTGTGTTCACACGACCCCAAATGGCAATAGGTTGTGCAATTGTCTCCAGAGAGAAATCAAGTG